ATAAAAAACGTCAACAACGTTAAGCTACTTTGGGTTCCAGGACACGCAGGTATCGAAGGTAACTCCCACGCCGATGAAGCTGCGAAATTCGCATGTATGGGTCCCATCGTCACCGCTTCAAACATAGAAAAAACTGACATAAAACACCACATCCACCAACACCTAAAAGCAAAGTCAAAAACGGAATACCAAAACCACCAACACCCTCACTACTCAGCATTCAACAAAGATCTAGTTCCTCCGGAATACCCCAAAAACGTAAACGGTTTTAAAACCAGGATATTTTCTCGACTCCGTCTTGGGCACACAACACAAACACATGTATATCTCATAAAAAGAGAAAACCAAACAATCTGCGAAAACTGTAACTCACTCCAAACATTGCAACACATCCTCAACGATTGCCCTCTATACGAAGAAGCAAAACAAGCAATACTCGCTAATTTCGTTAAAACTATTGATTTAACCATATAACCACTAAAACTACGTGACACATACACAAATATAAACACAACTCATTTCTGCAACGTAGAGCTGATGGCCTCGGCAGCCAATGCTCATATAATTCTATTAGTTCTGATATTCATATCAGTACTAAATAATAATAATAATAATAACACTATGCGACAGTCAAAATCGGGATGGGATGAAACCAACGGGAAATGTTATATCGGTCAAAAACAAGTTATACGTGGCCCGGCGTTTCGAGATATATCGATTTTAAGTTAGTAACTATCATATAGGGGAAATTGTCACCTTTTCATGATGATTTTCATGATCTATGTCTCATTTTGCTTAAAGGTTATGTGACTTTGCGTGAAAGTAATACGACTTGCCTTTTTTTCCGTTTTGGATTTTTTATGAATTTAAAAAATAAAAAAATTTAATATTTTACGCAAAAAATATTTTTTTTCTTCATACATTTATTTTTACCGGCAAAACTGTTGACTATATAGAAAAACGTTATATGAACAGATTAAAGGAATTGTAATTTTTAATTTTTTTTAAATTTGTTTGAGCAAAATCGGACTAGTGGTTCTCGAGTTATGTCAAAAAAAAGACCACCAAAGGTGACAATTTCCCCTATATGATAGTTACTAACTTCAAATCGATATATCTCGATTCCTAGACGTGACCCAGCGAAACGCCGGAACACGTATAACTTCTTTTTTACCGATATAACTTTCCCCGGTAGTTTGAACCCTTCCCGATCACTGACCCCTACCATTGGTCTCACAGTGTAATAAATTACGAATACTTCTGTGAGTGACTGTATGTATATTGCTTATTTTATATGGCTTTTGTTTAATTTCATGACATACTTATATTGTTTTTATCTTTTTTTGTCCTTTTTTTTTCTTCTCTGTGGATATTTAAATCAGCAATTTGTTGTACTATAAAAGATTATATCTTATTGTACTAATGTTTATACATTTAATAAATGAAAATGAAATAAATGAAATATTCGGTGCATAAACATAACGAACGATGTATTCGAAAAAATCTTATTTGTGGTCCGATTTGTTTGAAATTTGGTACGTAGGTAGCCTTTTTCCTAGATTAGCATATACAGTGCAATCCAGTTATAATGAACTCAGCGGGACCGCGTCAAACTGTCCATCATAACCGAGTGCATATTTTATTAGAATATAAAAATTTTAAATAATAAAGAAATAATGTCCGTGTATAAATACAAAATCGTATACTTTTCATGCAAGGTAAATGCCCGTTTTTCCGTTCCGACATTTTTCTTAAAGTGAACAAAACACAGATCAAAACCCAACAAACGGTCACGAAGCTGATTGCCTATTTTGACAGATTTCGGTAAACAAATGAACTTTGTTTAAGTATATAGACATTTTCTCTCGCGGATACAGTTGCCTCTCTTTACTGAATTCGGGGAATTACCGAACTTTGTTTATTGCAGAGATTATTACGTTTTATTTGGCCTTGGTTATAATGGACAAAACCCGATATTTTTATCCATTATAGGCGTAGTCTGTTATAACCGAGTCTATTTTAACTGAGTTTTTTTCATATGTTTGAACTAGGACTTGACAAATAGGTACATATTAACAGAGTTTTCATCTTAAGCGAGTCCATTATAAATGGATTACACTGTAGGATCCCTTTTCCCGTTAAGTGGATCTATTCGAAAAAATCTTATTTCCGATATTGGCTATTTTTTTCACTGGCCACAGATAGACTTTTTTGTGCTGATTACGAATCCGTAAGTATAAAGTTTGCATCAGCTCTAGATTTTGAGAAAAACGTGGTTAAAGTGTCAAAAATTCGCAGTTTTTGCAATATTTGAGAAGCTCTAGTAAGGAAACAAAAGGTGATAGAACCTTTCACTTAGGCTTAAATTAAAGCTAGAACTCCCGGCAGCTTTAAAATTTGCCGCATAAAAATCAGTGTTGCCTGTGTTATCTATACTAAATATATAAAAAAAAGCTCCTCTTTATAAGAGGTGATCTCGCGAACGGCTGTACCAATTTTTTTTAAATTTTGGACACCTACTGCAGGCTTTCGATATATTAAGGGAGCGTGACATCACCCATACGTATCGAATTTTTCATACCGTATATCTCTGGAAGTATTTGTGGTAGAGTCCTGGAACTTGGTACTGAGAATCAACCTCATACTCATGGAGAAAAGTGGGGGCTATTGGAAAAGGGGGCGTGGCGTCTTCTTAACATATTGAAACTTTTACCTATCCGTAAATGTATACACCCACCAGAATAAGTCTCCGTACAGTGTTATTTTTAATACTTGCAATCTTTTTCATAATAAAATTTTTCGTTAATTTTTTTTTAGAATTATTGTTCATTCAAATTTAGGAAAATTCGACAAAATTTGACCGAAATTTTAAACTTTTAACCAAATTTTAAGTATGGAGTTAAGTTGTATTTCACTCAGTTTCAGTATAAGAACGCCTTCTACCCGAGCGAAACGATTTTTATGAAATTTTTGTATGTGTTTGAGTAGGTCACTGTATAGTTTAGGTTCACAATTTAAAACGCCAGGAGTCGCTGGAGTCGAGTTATTACTCAATATTCGTATTTGTGATCCGATTTGACTCATATTCGAGATATATATTTATGTATTGGTAACACTATTATAAAAAAACATACACAAGGGGGGCGCTGGAGCCGAGCAATTGCTAAAAATCGTCAAGTGAAGTCAATCGGAGGCACCAGGAATCAAAGTCAAATTACCACCGTTAAATCGACCATCAGAACCATTGCGGTCATTGCTTTACGGCGACTAAAAAGAATAAAGACAATTCTTGATGAATGCTTACGATTGTAAGACATTAAGGTATTAGATTTCTGAGGACCAATGATACTCCCCAGTTTGGAAATTGCCACCAATTATACCACAGTAAAACCCGCTTAAGTACCTCACGAAAAATGTCAGCTTTTTGAGGTACTTAGGCGGGTTGGGTACTTAAAAGAACCCGCTTAAGTGCCTCGATGCGGGTACTTAAGCGAACATAATTATTGGTGTAGTTACAACTTCTTTTTAACTTCATAAATAAATCCCTGAATAAAACATGAACAATTAATAAAGTATACGCCTTTTAAAACCAAGATCGTAACATTATTTAAACAAATAAACACATAAAGAAAAACTTTATTAAAAAATAGATAAATGTTTTGTCTATTTTACATTAATTCAATTCTTTAAAAAGTCGTTGATTATAAATATTTATACAAACACAAATTTCGACCAAATTCAAAATGGTACTGTTTGCCGCTTATGTTTATTAATTTTTAAGGTTTTTCAATTAAAATACAGATTTTCAGTACAAAATTCTGCCGATTCTTAGTGAACTAAGCACTGTAAATTTGGCCCTGAAAATTCATCAAGTTTTTGTCAAAATTGCTAATTTTTTTCTCAGAAGTCACCCCATTCGATTTCAGAGTAACAAGTTGCAAGTGGCAAAAAATTACCGTTGATTTTATAGAATTTTTTTTGCCGAAGGCGCTGCGGTTCTTCTCTCATAAAAATAAATTGTATTTATTCGTTATATGCAAGCAAATGCGACAAAAAATTCTAAAAAATCCGCGGTAATTTTTAGCCACTTGGAACTTGCTTGTTGTTACACTGACGGTGGCAATTAATATCGATTGTGTGAATTTCAAAATATGTAAATATTTTAAAAATTTAAAAGCACTTAAAAGGGGAAAATTATAAGTAAAATGGTAAATTGGTTACGAAAAATTTAGGTACTTAGACGGGTTGGGTAAATAAGCGGGGAGGTACTTAAGAGAGGGATTTTCTTCAGATTACATTAAAAAATTCACGGTGCCCAAAAATGGTGGTTACTTAAGCGGGTGGGTACTTAAGCGGGTTTCACTGTATTCAGATTCAAAGACGATTTATCATCGAACGGGATCATTGTTGCCGGCATAACGCTTTCGTCAGGTGATTTAAGACGGCAATGAAGGATATTCGTTCTGTCGACCACAAAACCAAACGTGAACGTGAATTGCTGGCGAAAACGTTGAACCAAATGTTTCAATTAAAAATTAATTTTGGTCGGGACGAAGTTCGCCAGGTCTGCTAGTTAAATATAAATAAGTGTCATCATGTCACCTTCTCAAAATCCCGCTCTCTTATCCCAACTTCCTACCACACAGACTTTTCTGATCCGTTTGTTCGTTTTGCCCTTCGTTCTCTGCAGTGTGTTCACCCTATTCCCTCCAAACGTAGTAGATGTCTACTTATTAATCTTAAGCCATTTGATTGTAGGTGGACTATTTTCTCCCTTACTTTTGTCTACAACTTAGTACGTGGTGTCATAGACTGCCCATTTCTCTGTGCCACAGAGCTGTTTAAGAAATCACGTCCCTTTCTCTTTGGAGATGGTAAGAAGTCATTATGCATCTAATACTCCTATGCTCAGAACTCTGTATAATTCCTTGTAATCTGTATGAAATGTAATACTTTCTGGATTATTAATTAATAAAAATAAATTTTTTTTCCTCTTTCAGATGCTGCGTTTATCGCTCAGACTCGCTCGTTCCAACATTCACCGCCAATTAATGATCCGCGGGTTTGCCAAGGATGTTAAATTTGGACCAGAAGTGCGTGCACTTATGTTGCAAGGTGTGGATGTTTTGGCTGATGCTGTAGCAGTTACTATGGGTCCAAAAGGTCGAAATGTTATCATTGAGCAATCATGGGGTTCACCAAAAATTACTAAGGATGGTGTAACCGTTGCTAAATCAATCGAGTTGAAAGATAAATTCCAAAATATTGGCGCAAAACTTGTTCAAGATGTGGCCAATAACACAAATGAGGAGGCTGGTGACGGCACAACTACAGCTACCGTATTAGCACGTGCAATTGCGAAGGAAGGATTTGAAAAAATTTCAAAAGGTGCTAATCCTGTCGAAATTCGTCGGGGTGTTATGCTAGCTGTGGATACCGTAAAAGAACATTTAAAAACAATGTCTCGCCCAGTTAATACCCCCGAAGAGATCGCGCAAGTAGCAACCATATCTGCTAATGGAGACAAAGATGTAGGAAATCTCATTAGTGAAGCAATGAAGAAAGTTGGCCGGGACGGCGTTATCACCGTCAAAGATGGCAAAACCCTTTCAGATGAACTGGAAATAATTGAAGGAATGAAATTCGATAGAGGATATATTTCTCCATATTTCATCAATTCATCTAAGGGAGCTAAGGTGGAATTCCAGGACGCGTTACTTCTTTTATCAGAAAAGAAAATTTCGTCAGTGCAGAGCATTATTCCTGCCCTTGAATTAGCTAATTCACAACGTAAGCCATTGGTTATAATTGCTGAAGATATCGATGGCGAAGCACTAAGTACACTTGTTGTAAATCGCCTTAAGATCGGTTTGCAAGTCGCAGCCGTTAAAGCACCAGGATTCGGTGATAACCGTAAGTCTACACTTACTGATATGGCTATAGCATCAGGTGGAATTGTTTTTGGTGATGACGCTAATTTGGTTAAGTTAGAAGATGTGCAAATAAACGACCTTGGAAAAGTTGGAGAGGTTGTTATAACCAAAGATGATACTTTACTACTCAAAGGAAAGGGCAAAAAAGAGGATATTAGTCGTCGTGTCGATCAAATTAAAGATCAAATAATTGAAACAACCTCTGAATATGAAAAAGAAAAACTACAGGAGCGCTTAGCCCGTTTGGCTTCTGGTGTAGCATTGCTACGTGTAGGCGGATCCAGTGAGGTCGAAGTAAACGAAAAGAAAGATCGTGTGAATGATGCTCTTAATGCAACTCGCGCGGCAGTAGAAGAAGGAATAGTCCCTGGTGGCGGCACTGCGCTCCTAAGATGTATCCCAGTACTAGAAGGACTGAAGGGATCTAACGAAGATCAAGTGAGTTTTGCGTTTTTTATATTAATTTGATTATAATTTCAACTATTTTATATTCCAAAGGATCTGGGAATCGAAATTGTTCGCCGTGCCCTTAGGATGCCTTGCATGACTATCGCCAAAAATGCTGGCGTTGATGGTGCTATGGTTGTAGCTAGGGTTGAAACGAAAGATGGAGACTTCGGTTATGATGCATTAAAGGCAGAATATGGAAATTTGATCGAGAAGGGTATTATTGACCCAACCAAGGTACAGCTATACGTATATGATTATGGAAACTTTGAGAACTTATAATAAATGTTTGCAGGTGGTGCGCACAGCAATAACGGATGCTTCAGGCGTGGCTTCACTTCTCACTACAGCCGAAGCTGTTGTAACTGAAATACCTAAAGAAGATTCTGGCCCAGGTCTCGGTGGAATGGGAGGCATGGGTGGAATGGGAGGAATGGGCGGAATGGGGGGGATGATGTAAAATATCTGCTATGTTAATTATTCCATTGTTAAATATATTACAATTTTACATATTATATATGTAAAATATTGAGGTACATTTAGTAGTTATTAAACGGACAAATTATAAATTATATTCATCGTATTAAAGCAGTTTTAGTGCATAAGGGCAAGAGAAGCGGCTCTCGTAACTTGTGAAAGAGTTTGTAGGGTATTATTATAAACAGAATAATCCAGAGACCCAGAATAACAAGGCTGTAAACCGCTCCAAAAATCGGTGCGGTTCGGTTCAGTGGCTCGAAAAACTTAGAAAAAGCTTGTACCGGTATAAGAATCGGTTTATGCATATCCCTGAACCGTGGTTCGGTTCGGTTCAAATGGTTCAAATTTTTTATGCTTCTTTATTGGCGCTGTAACCGCCTAAGCGATTTTGGCCGAGTCCAAAACAACACGCCAGTCATTTCTCTTCTGTGCCAACTGACGCCAGTTGGAAATGCCAAGTGAAGCCAAGTCTTTCCAACGCAGAGGAGGCCTTCCTCTTCCTCTGTTAAAGCGTAAACAGACGGCAGCGTTGATCCGGATCTCTTTTATGGCGTCTATCGCTATCAGCTGTAATTGATACGCGTTGCTTTTAACTTGCTTCAAATAAATTTGCTCAAATGTACTAACCGTTACCGTGTGCGGACGTGTTTATATACGCTCTGATGTACGAATTTCTTTTTGGTCATTATGGACAATTTTTGTGGTAAATGCACTAAATCTTTTTCGAGAATCGATGCTAATTTGGTGCCGTGCAATGGATTTTGTAAAAGAATTTTCCGTCGTGCCTGACGACATGAATTTGCTTAAAACCAATCGTCACTTGATGTATCTATGTGAAGAGTGTGTTTTTGACGAAGAAACTGTGTAAAGCTCTGTTGTTGTTGTTGTAGCGGCTACAACAACCCCGCCCAGATCGGTTGGTATCTCAGTCGTTGTCGTCAAGTTCCACTAACGGCAACCCTAGGAAGCGTGCAGCTTCTGTGGGATCTGTCCACAGGGACAGGGCCGTTAGGGTTGTCGGGTTTTCCGGGCATGCGAAGAGATGGTTCGAGTCATGAGGTGTCTCTCCGCATGCCGGACATTCGTTCGGCACATCCTCATTCAGCCTACTCAAGTAGGAGTTTAACCTGCTGCAGTAGCCGGAGCGAAGTTGAGCGTGTGTAGTGCGTGTCTCCCGAGGCAGATGAAGCTCTGTCTCGTCAATGTCCGGGGGTGGTATGCCTAGAACGGCATTCACAGGTCTAGAGTCTACATAACTCGAGACTGAGTCCCTGTGAATGCCGCTCAGGGCCTGTCTGTACGCTGTCGGGTCCAGAGGTTGCTTAATGAACCTCTGGACTTCGTCCGTCAGTTCATATAGATGCCTCCTGACGTGCCTAGGCGAGGGCTCCTCTGCAAGCAGCTGTCTGTTTGGGTGGCCACTTCTGTGGCTCCCAATCAGGAACTGCTTGCAGAGCATTATGTTGTGCTCCTTAACTGGGAGCATTTGCGCCTCGCCGTGCAAGTGGTGTTCTGGCGACATCAGGAGGCATCCCGTCGCTGTCCTAAGTGCCGTATTTTGTACCGTCTGTAGCTTCGTCCACTGCGTCCTACTAGTCCCTGGCGACCACACTGGCGCTGCGTAGTTCAAAACCGGCCGGCCTATTGCCTTGTATGTTGCGAGCAACGTTTCTTTGTGTTTGCCCCAAGTACTGCCGGCTAGCGACTTAAGGACCTTGTTGCGGCTCTGTACTTTATTGACAATAGCGGTTGAGTGCGCAGAGAAGGAGAGCAGGCTGTCGAACGTTACTCCGAGTATTTTGGGGTTATTCACCGTCGGAATTGGTGTGTCATCGACGTGAATCCCCAGCGGTAGCCTGACCTCCTTCGTCCAGGTTGTGAACAGGGTCGCGGAGGATTTCGTAGGGGAGAGGGCTAGACACTTTGCAGTGAAGAAGCGAGAAAGTTCGGAGAGATAGCCGTTTACTTTCAAACACAATTCCATTCCCAGTCGCCATGATCGAGCAGTCGTCGGCATAGGAGACAATCGAGACTCCCTCTGGTGGTTGAGGGAGCTTTGAAATATAAAAGTTAAACAGTAGCGGGGAAAGGACACCACCCTGAGGAACCCCCTGTTTTATTTTTCGCTGCTTACTCGTTTTGTCTCTAAATGTTACCGACGAATGTCGACCACTCAGATAATTTGCCGACCACCGTTTGAGCCTCTGTGGGAGAGAGGAGGCCTCTATATCTTCTAGCAGCGTGGAATGGCAGACGGTGTCAAACGCCTTTGACAAGTCCAACGCTACTAGAATCGTTCTCTCACAGGGACGGTTGCGGTTCAGGCCACGAGTTATCTGAGTGTTTATGGCGTTAAGTGCTGTTGTTGTACTGTGCACTTTACGGAAACCATGCTGATGCTTCGCTGGGGTCAGGTGGTTTGTGAAGTACGGGAGTAGCAAGGCCTCGAGTGTCTTCGCTACCGGGGAAAGGAGTGTAATCGGACGATACGAATCTCCTTTGTTGGCGGGTTTCCCCGGTTTGAGCAGTGGGACCACTCTCCCCACCTTCCAGATGTCTGGGATGATGAGAGTGGCCATTGACAGGTTGAGGACCTCCGTTAGGTACGCTACCCCCGCAGGACCCAAATTTTTCAGCATCAGCATGCATATTCCGTCGGGACCCATGGCTTTGGAGGCTTTCGCCTTCCCGATGGCCACCTGAACTTCACCGCAAGTGAAAGCAAGTCGGGCACAATTTGTTGGCAGTTTGTGCAGCCTTCTGGTCACTCGACGCTTGGCTTTGTCTACCGGAGGATGCAGTATAACTGTCGCGCATCGCTCCGGGTCCGACGAAGCATGGTCGCCGAAGGAAATTTCGACTCTGTCGTCGTGCTTCGTCGGATTAGACAATGACCTCACGGTTGACCAAAGCTTGCTCACACCAGAGGTGAAATTACAAGTCTTCAGGTGCTCCTCCCACTTCTTCCGCTTATGTACGTTTACAAGTTGCCGAATCTCCGCGTTGAGATCCCTGATACGGGGATCTCCGGGATCGGCCTGACGAAGGCTATCACGCTCATCAGCTAGAACAGCCGCTTCGGCAGGGAAGTTTGGACGTGGGTCCGATATACATCCTGCCGGTATGAAGCGAGCTGCAGCAGCAGTGATAGCCCTGCGGAACTTACGTTCACCGAGGTGGACGTCGGTTGGTGTGGGGAGCGCTGCGAAGGTGTTTTCAGTAAACTCCGCGTAACCTTTCCAATCAGCTTTGGAAAAGTTGATATAGGTCCGGTGTTTGGCGGAGGCAAAGTCGGTTGGTTTATCAATCGAGATGACTATGGGTAGATGGTCTGATGCTAGAGTCAGCATAGGTCGCCACGTTATGCTGTTTATCAGACCAGCGCTGACTATTGTGATGTCTGACGAGCTACTGCAGTTACCCATAATCCTGGTGGGTGCGTCGTCGTTCATTGTGCAGAATGTCGAATCGTCTATCTGCTCAGCCAAGTCTGTTCCCCTACGATCGTTTGACAGGCTTAAGTGCCAAAGATCGTGGTGCGCATTAAAGTCACCTACTACCATACGGTTTTCACCTCTGAGGAGCGCACCTATATCAGGGTGATATCCTGCCGGGCAGCAGGTGACAGGGGGTATGTAAATGTTAAATATTTCGAGCTCGACATCGCCTGACCGGATAGCGATGCCCTGACATTCTAGGGTGGTATCCCTGCGGTCGATGTCTGCTTCGATAAGACGATACTGCACGGTGTGGTGCGTGATGAACGTTAAGCCACCACCATTATCTCGCTCACGATCTCGACGGTGCACGTTGTACCCGGCGCAATTCAACAAAGTTGAATTGCTGTGCAGCTTCGTCTCTTGGACCGCAGCTATTAATATACCATGCCGACACATGAAGACGGTTATCTCCTCAATCTTGCTCTGTAGCCCGTTACAGTTGAATTGGAGGAGCTTCATGTGGTTCGGGAGACGTGTCGTGATGTGGGGTGTGAGTGAGGTGTATGTTCTTGCCGCCGTTGGCTGTGTGTGCTGCTGAGGTGGTTGCCGCCCTGTGGTGGTGGTGGGGGGCGTCGCAATTGACGTCTGCGACCGAGCAGCGCAACACGGGCCCTCGAAATTCCCCCTCCAATCTCGCGTGGTACGCAGACCTGAACATGCCCTAAAGTGGCACCAGCCAAGGCAGGTGTTGCACTTGACTGATGTCACATTACGGAATATTCTGGTCTGACATACCGTGCAGATTGTAGGGGGAACCAGGAGTTGTTGGCGGCGGCGTGTGGGTGGTGGTGCAGTTGTGTGTGTTATGTGGTCTGTGGTGGCTATGGTACGGTCTGTGGTGTTATTATGTTGTTGTGTAGTGGCGACTGTGTGTGGTTGCTGTGTGAGCGTGTGGGGCTGCACGGGCGGACTATCGTTTGCCGTGGAGGCTGCTCTGTTTGAGCAACAGGGGGCCACGTAAGACGTGGTCCACTGTCTGTGTGTCCGTAGTCCCGAGCAGACCCTGAGGTGAATCCACCCCTCGCAGGCATTACACTTGACTGAGGTGGAGTTGTGGTGTAATCGTCTTCGGCATACACAGCAGGTGTATATTTCTGGCCCAGGGTTTGACTCGATGCCAGCCCTGAGTAGGAGAATGCGTAGTGAATGTTGCCCTATGGACGGACAACTTCTGAGATACTTCGCCGACCTAAACGGGGTTAGATCGCCGAAACAACAGCCCTTGGTCGGGTGAAACGCGAGTCATTCCGGTGCGTAGAACCGGCTGTCGTGGGAATGTGTGTAAAGCTCTCGATGCAGTTGCTGTTACTCAAAAGCTTAGCATCAACTTAATTTCCAACGCCTTTGAGTCTAAATTAAAAGACTTGTCGGCAGTGTTGCCATTTTAGTCGTTTTCCGGCTAGATTTAGCCGGTTGCGATAGCAAACAGCCGGAGAAATTTCGATTTAGCCGGCAGCCGATTTGTTAGCCGTTTTGCAGAAAAAAATTAGCCGTTTTTAGCCGATTTTGCTATTTGCCTTGTTTTCTTAAATTTCAAATATGTATATTAGACTGCATCACCAAAAAAAGGTGCGGGTTTTCCGCCGGGATTACAAAATTTATT